AAAAAAAAAAAAAAAAAAAAAAAAAAGTGGGCGGCATGTCATATGATGAATTTGCAGCACATGTGTCTGTCCCCACGGGAGGGTGGTATCATCTCTCTCGGCCAGGCAGATCGTCCAAACGGAGAATGCACTCTTCACACTCGCGTATAGCAAGCAGCATTACCCAACTCAAATTTTTTCCTTAAATTTCCGTAGAGGTGAAAAAGGGCCACCGTTCCACACGAATTGGGAACAATCTTTTTTTTTTTTTTTTTTTTTTTTGGTGGGAGGGGGGAAAAAGAAACACATAAAAAAAAAGAAATATAAAATAATGATAAATGTGCAACGTTGGTTGTTTACAAATGGGGATACAGACTACCCCAGACAATCTCTTCCACATGAATACGTATAATGCGTCATGGAGGAAGAGGAAGAGGAAGACGGCGCGGGGATCTCTTCAGGGCAAAAAATAAATTTACCTGTTTCATGAACCAAATATTGTCCACGTTTTTCTCAACACTTCCATCCGTTGCAGCATTTGCATTGGTCTTTGGGTGGCAAGCATGGCGATGCAAAAAATGAAAAAAAAAAAAAATAATAAAATAATTAAATAAGTACAAAATTGGAGACTGGCTTACATGATTAGTGGCACAATCACATGCCGAGCGCACACGCGTCACATTACCATGCCTTCTTTCAGGGGGTACAACAGTATTATTGCGTGCACGGGTTGAGGGATCTGTTAGCGGGGCAGGGCATGTACAAAAAAAGACACATTATGCTACGAAGAAAGTTACGATACAGGGGGATTGGAAATGTGCACACTTTTTCAAATTCATAAAGTGATATTGGTACGTCCCCAGGTGCGAACCCTCATGCGAGTCACCCTTCCGCGTTGCCCATGGGAGGAGACACAACATGGTGTGGTTATGGGAAGGCGGCCCTACCATATCTAAGAGGTCCGCATCAAACCCATAGATGTCCTGAAAGGCCAACTTGGTCTGCCCAAGTTTACAGGAGTACAGGTAGAGGGACTCCGGGTTGGACTCGATGGGGACCCAAATATTATTCCGTAGCATTGTGGTGGGTAAATCGAATGATTGTGCACAACGGGGGTGTAAATATAACCGTGCGGTGTTTTACGGAGAGGGGCAATGGGGTTGTCCTGTACGTTAGCAATTCCCCTTTTGTCTGTTTATATATATAGACCTTTTTTTTTGTGATTACACTGTGGTACCCTTTTAAGCGAGACAAATTTATTTTCTCTTCACTTAGGTGTCACATATGTGCACATAAGAACAGGCGGCGTTTGAGGAGGCAAGTACTGCTTTATTTTTATTTTGTCCTTTTTTATAATTATTTATTTTTTTTTTTTTTATTGTCCGCGATTTTTCAATTTGTCAACCCCTCGAGACCGCATAGCCAACTTGGGGGTGTACAAACAAATGAGCAGAGTGAAAAGGTCGCAAAATGAGCAACGTACTTGAAAAAAAAAATTTATTAACAGGTTGTGCATATGTGCTACACGTATTAAACAAATTCGGGTGAAGCTTGTTTTTATTGCTATTTGTTTTTTTATTTTATTTTTTTTTTTTTTATATATTTCTGAATAGGTGATGGTGATAAGGGAACCCGGAACAAGGGGGTACTAAAATGCAAGTCGGGAAAAGAAGGGGACCTGCACGTGAAGCCTTTTTGCAGCGGCAAAAAAAATAGC